TTGTATATATATATATATATATATATATATATATATATATATGTTTATTCTTGAAAAATGTAAAAAGAATTACAAATATGTAAACAAAGAATTTTTTAGGTCAAGCAGATAAATGGTGAAAAGACAAATATTAGTTTATTTAATGTCTTGTTTTTATTTAATATTAATTAAAAATTAATACTAATTAAATTTTATTAAAATTCATCTAATATTTCAAAAACTAAAAGCAATCTATGTAATCTCTTATAAAGGATTCAAATTGTAAATAAATCAAAGCTCTACTATATATAATATATATTATTAAGATCAAAGTTATCAGTGAGATATTACTTTTTCTATATATAGAAATGTATTAACAATCTTAAAAATTTTTTTTGAAAGGAGAATACTTATATATTATTAATCACAAAAAAAATAGGTGTAAAAGGAGACATCTGTAAACTGTTTTATGAACTTCAGTCAACAGCAGTAGCTGCCTAAAGCATTTTTCCTATGTTTCATCTGGGTCTCGGTTCAGGAACTTATGTTATCAATAAACTGTCAATTGATGAAGTTATCTGTGAAGTTGTCAATGCGGTTTTTATTACGTTCATTTGTAAGTATTTTATGAATTATTATCAGCATTTTGTATGAAGGAATTCGTATCGTGCATGACATAACGTGCTTATCAGACTCGTATCATCTGTATAACTAAATTCATTATATATAAGTAGGTCAAAGTACAATCTGGTACGATTTGATGCTTTGGCTATGGCCAATGTACGGGTGCTATTACATATGTCGTACGACAAATTTTTCAGACGTATTGATTGGCTGCAGAATAGAGAAATTTTCGAGTCTCTAGAAACTTTCTATCCTGCAATCAAGACGCTTGAAAAATTTGTCGTACGACAAATGTAATACCCATAGACATATATAGGCCGAGATCCGATTCATGTTCAAAGCATTTTTGACGTCATTCTATCTTTATTGTTCATTAGATGTAAAATAAGGATAATACTTTGAGCGGACCGCGGCCATAATAGACTCAGCATTAGGTATATATATCAGTTCTTGGCAGAACGGTGCGAGAGGCAAAATATAGGGGAAGTTCTCTCTTTCTCTCTGCGCAGATAAAATGCGCGATCTATTGACAAGTTATAATACGAGTATATTGTTATATCGGATATCAGATGATTCTCGAATCATTTTTATTTGTCAATAATGTGCGCGCAGTAAAGGACAGATATTCTCCGATGGATGGGGTCCGTTTGATCACGTTGCAAGCGACGGGTGCCTAGAGGTTTCTGTTCAAACGCTATGAATGGCTGTGGTCAATCGCAACGTGGTCAAATGGGACGCTTCCTTCCCCGATATTTTGCCTCTCTCACCGTTCTGCCAAATCCAACTGATGATATAGAAAAGTATATGGTATGCGGGGCCTATATTATATGTCTATGGTAATATCAGCCTAACACTACAAATGCTTCGAAACATTTGATTGTGCAATCAAAACAAAGAATTTTACTAGTCAAAAAATGCTTCAAAGTATCTAATTTGGAAATAATCATTTTTAAGCGAAAAAAATATTAAATTTGTTCTTTATAACTGAACTATATATATATTCATTGTACTTAAAATGCAATAGATATATATATATATATATATTTCAAACTTAACAAAAGAAAGAAAAAAAATTCTAATGCGATGATAAAGGACAGGTTTATAATTGATGTTTTCTATAATTGATGTTTTCACAATATGATATGCAACAAGAGCCATTTCCATTGACGAAAAGTTTGAAATGAGCTTTAACTTGTACACATTGATAAAATATTATTAAAAATTATGTTAACTATGGACAAATGTTCATGATCATCAGGATTCAGAGACTCGGCTATAATTGAAAAGCATATTAATATTAAATTTTGATCATTTATATAAATAATAATATAGTATAAAATTTATAATCTTTTATATGTTACAAATGTTTTATAATTAAGTACATGTATTTATAATGTTATAATATATATTGCCCTAAAATTATAATTTTTTTTCATCCCGATGCAAAATTTTTCATCTGCGAACATATATAAATACACATATATTATTATATATAAAATAGATCTATAAATATTTATATTAATTTATTTCTTTCGTAAAATTTCTATTTAATATAAGAAAAATAATAGTAATAATGAAAAGATAAAAAATAATTAAAAGAATAATTTTTGGATCGTAATTTTTTCGAAAAGAAACATTGTATTTATATATATTTATGTGACATACTTATATAATTTATAAGAACATATATGTTTTTACATGAAAACTTTTTTATCTTCATGAATAATTAAACAGAAATATTAGAACTAATGTCTAATTGTAAGCAATATTAAAATATATATATATTATAAAATTAATATTATATTATGGACTGAACTGAATTTTTAACAGACCACGTAAGCTGCCAGATTGTTAATCTCTAATAGTGTATCTTGTCTCGATTGTTGTATTGATACACATTGTTGTATTATAATTATATATATTGTATTGATACATATTAATTATATATATAAAATTATGAAAAATTATTTTTTATTTTAAGTCGATGATATCTGAAAGTCGTGCCAATATGATAAATCCCGCTTTGAAGCCCGAGTTAGTACTTTCGGAAAGCAATCGTAAGAATTGTATCGAGAGGTTCAAGCGCTTTCGAACATCGAAAGTGCGCGGTGCCAAGGAAGCAGCCGTTCTGGTGCCGTTGTGCTTATATAAAGGCGAACTTAGTATCTTATATACGCTACGA